AGGAGACGAAGGAGACGAAGAAGGAGGAGACGAAGGAGACGAAGAAGGAGGAGACGAAGAAGAAGAAGGAGACGAAGAAGAAGGAGACGAAGGAGAAGGAGACGAAGGAGAAGGAGACGAAGGAGAAGGAGACGAAGGAGAAGGAGACGAAGGAGACAAAGAAGGAGGAGACGAAGGAGACGAAGAAGGAGGAGACGAAGAAGAAGAAGAAGGAGACGAAGAAGAAGAAGAAGGAGACGAAAAAGAAGAAGGAGATGAAGAAGAAGAAGAAGGAGACGAAGAAGGAGACGAAGGAGGAGGAGGAGAAGGAGACGAAGGAGACAAATGCTTCAATCTCATTCATCTGACCGTCACAGCGTCTTCATCTTAATTTCCATCTTTACGTTCACGTTTGCTTCTTTTACAGCAGCGGCTTTAAAAGCTGTAAATTAAAAGCTCGTCACCATTTAGTGCAGCTGAGACGACCAAAAGAGACTCTTTGGTCAGAAGTTAAACTCATCAGGTGTTAATAGGTGAACCTGTGGAAGGACTGTTGATGTCTGCCAGCAGCTGCCTTTATCACTCTCACCATCTGCTTTCAGAGGCACGCAAGAGTCGGTTGTTGGCTTCAAGTCTAACGGTTCCTCCCGTGGGGGCATCCGCAGAGAGCCTGCATGAACTGTGCATCGCAGGTTATACACTCAGACGCACATACTAATTCAGGGTCGAACCAGGAGGCACTCAGATGATATCAGGTTAATAAAAAGGTTGTTTCACTATAAATCACCACACATTACACATACACGAGTGAACATCAATAATAATTTGCATTTTGAGTTAAAGGATTATGATTTTATATTTCAAGAACCATATTCATGCCCTATTGCATGTTATCCATGAAAGATATCTAGCAAGGCAGCAAGGAATGAGTTACATAGTCTGAAGTGAAGTGTGACGCAGGAAAGTGAAATAAGTGATTAAATGTTGGACCAAGGCTGAAGTTTGGAGCGCGGTGGGAATTCTCACCTTGGGACTGTCCCCTCCAGAGGCCTCTTTATCGTTCTCAGGC